AAAAACTTAATATAATTATTAAATTACATATTTTTTATTAATTTATATAGAAAAATAAAAAATTTCATTTTTATTTTAACACTAATAATGCATGCATGATTTTAATTTAGGGATTTATAAAATTGAAATGAATTTTTATTTTTTAAGTAATTTTAATTATGTATGGATGCTCATTGAGTTCAATTAAATTTTGGAAATGTTTATTTATTAAAAATATTAATATTTAATAATAAATTAATTTTTTTAGAAATAATAGAATTTAAATTATAATATTAATTATTGTAAATTAAAATTAAAATTTTAATTAATGTAAATTGAAATTTCATCTTAGTTAATTATTATATTTAACAAAAAATTTGAATTTCAAAAATAAAATATTATAAAAAATAAAAATATATGTATTATATTTAACATTTTTCAAAAATTTAGAGAAATTTCGTTAGTCTAGTTAACGAAATATTTATCAAGTAAATCATTTTGAAACAAAATTAATAATTTGTAGATCATTTAAAAAAATTATTTTTAAACTAAATTAAAATAAATCATATAATTAATAAATTATTTATTAAATTTAATCATTTTAAAAGCCATTTAATATTTCACTTGTAATTGAGTTGGAAGTTGAAATGAGGAATGCGCGTTTTTATCTCTGTACCAACGACCAAAAGTAGTTCGTAAAGCCTAGATGGAAGCATCATTTATTATTATTTTTTTTATGTCTTTTAAGAATACGAAATAAAAGTGTAATTATTATATTTTTTATTATTAATTATATATTAATTTATATAAAAATTAATATTAATTTTTAATTTTATTATGTTAATAATAATAATAAATTAATAGATACATATTTATCTTGTGACCTAAAAACACATAACGAGAAAATATTTTTTATCTTTTTTTAACAACAGAAAGACTTCGTTTATGTTGAAGGAAATAATCTCTTCGAAGAATTCAAATGTCAATGCAAGTGTTGTAACTTTTGCTCATAGCCCCCACATCTTTGATGGGTACTATTTTTTTTTTTAATTTATGATTAAAGGCACTTTCAGATTAATTTTTATATATTTTGAAATTAATATTTTATTAAATAATCTGAAAAGCACATTAATTTAATATATTTAATGAAATTTTTTTTTTTTTTTAAATATTAACCTTAAAATTTGAATCATTCACTTAATTTACAAAACCGCAATTGCTTACTAGTACTAGTAGGTTCAATCTTTGGGTCTGTTTGACGCGTACCATGATATCAGAAAACAATTCAATATTTTTCCCAACTCTGCAGCGTCCTAGCGCTCTAACTTCTGTTCCATGGTGGCCTAGAGTCTGAAGTCTGAGCCCACCTCTTTTCTTTTTCCCTTTTCTTTTCTATAATTCCGAATGATTTCATTTTGGTTAAATACCCTTTTTGGTCCCTCTACTATAGGAAAAAGTCCTTTTTTGATCCTTATACCGAAAAAATCCCCTTTTTGATCCTTACTGTTCACAAATCCAGTCCCTTTTTGATCCTGCCATTAATTTTTGCTCACATGGCACGTTAACTTAATTGGAACAGCTGACGTGGGTATGCCAACATGTAAAAGATGCTTACGTGGATTTAATGATACCCTCCACGTCTCCCTCCACATCTCTTTCCACGTCACTCTCCCAGCACGGAAAAAGAAAAAATTACTAATTTACCCTCATCTTCTTCCCCATCCTCTCCTTCCTCTGGGCTTTATTTTTTTTTTTTCTTTTACCAGGCGAACCCAACTCTAATCCAGGTCGTGAACCCAGGTGTGACCTGGATTCATTGTTCATGGGTTCGTGAAGAACCCAGGCTTGGGTGGATTCATCTTGGGTTCTTGACGAACCCAGGTGTGCGCTGGGTTCTTCACGAACCCAGGACCAACCCAGCTCGTGCCTGGGTTCCCGACGAACCCAGCACGACCTGGGTTGGTTCGTCCTGAGTTCACGACAAACCCAGGTGGGCCTAGGTTCTCGTCTACATCGAGAACCCAAGCGCGAGTTGGGTGGGTTCATCCTGCGTTCACGACGAACCCAGGCGGGCACTGCAGGCACTTCTCCAAGGCATTGTAGACATCTAGATTCAGCAAACTATTGTCGAAATACTCCTCAACGAGCTCAAAATCATCCCCCACTACCTCAATAATCAAATATTAGCAATCCATTAAAAACAAGAAATCAAGATTATCAGGTTCTTTTTCCTTAAAACAAAGTAGAATTTGACTCTTAATCAACTCAAAACACTCTCCAAATTCCATCTCCATATACTTCCAGCTATTCTACAGCAAATCAATCAAAACCGAGCACGATTTCGTAACACATTCAAAGAAAACACGATCTAAACTACAGATTGCGTTTTAATCAAAAGAAAGAAGGTAAAGAACTAAAGGAAAACAAACAGAAATCGAACGAAGATCCCAGAGTTCGATCAAGAAGAAGAAGAAGAATCCAAGGCTCCTTGCGGGTTTTGCGAACCCAGCTACTGGGTTCCTCGCGGAACCCAGTTGGAACCCAGATTTGGGTTTCATGAACCCAGGTCTTGGGTTCCTCATGGAACCCCCTTGCTGGGTTCGCGGAGGAAAAAGGTTGGGAAAGAGGAAGGGGCGGAGGGATAAGAAAGAAGAAGGGAGGAATAAGAAGAAGAAGAATATGAAAAACCAAATTTGTAATATAATCTAATAATTTATGTGGGTTTTTATTTAAATATGAAAAAAAATATCACATGAAAAAAGAAAAATACCATCTCATCAAATTTGTTTTAGCATAATTATAATTTAAATAAAAACCTATAAAATCACATAATTTATTATTAGATTATATAGATAAATAAAACATATAATTAATAAAAAAATGAAAAACATAATTTAAAGACAAAAAAATATAAACTTATAAAGTTGAGGGATTAAATTTAGCATTTAACTTTTTTTTTCTTTTTTCACGTGGGGGAGGGTGACTTGGAGGGTGATGTGGAAGGTGTTGTAAGTCCACATAAGCATATTTTACACATTGGCATACCTACATTAGCTGTTCCAGTTAAGTTAACGTGCCATGTGAGCAAAAATTAACGAAAGGATCAAAAAGGGGCCGGATTTATGAATAGTAAGGATAAAAAAAGGGATTTTTTCGGTACAGGGATCAAAAAAGAGCTTTTTCCTATAATAGAGGGACCAAAAAAGGTATTTAACCTTCCATTTTTGAGCTACCTAAAGAATGATTGAAAAGTAATATTCTCCTATGAAATGAAAGTGAGAATCCATAAAGATTAAAAGATCAATTTGTCTCTCAACTTTCAAATATATATCAAAATTATCTTTTAACTTTAAAAAAATATTAAAATTATCCCCAACTTTAATTTGTGATACCAAAATAGTCCTCAAACTTTAAAGATAATATCAATTTAATTCTTAAACTTTGAAGACAGGTACCAACTTAATTCTTGAACTTCAATCACAAATATCAATTTGGTTTTCTAACTTTGATTGCATATCAATCTAATATATAAATAAAAATATATCACGATAGTAAAATATGACTGATTTTATACATCATTAGTATTTAAAAAAAACTAATTTTGTAATAAAATAATGAGTTACGTGATACTTCTTAACATAAGGACTTCTTTGTATTAAAATTAAAATTTTAGAGATAATTTTGATAATTTTTGAAGTTGGGGGATAATTTTGGTACAAACCTGAAAGTTGAGGGACCATAATGGTCTTTTAACCAGTCATAAAGCTAACAATCCAAAAGGAAGAAAAAATTAAAAATGCGAAAGAGAAAAAGGTAGGGAAGAAGATTTCTTGTGTTGGAGCCTGGAATTAAGCCAATCAAACCAGAATTTGGAGGATTCAAAATACTCAAGAAGATAACATGAAATTCTTATTCATTGTATAGCCAACATCTGAGATGGATAAAGATACAAACACAAAACCTATTGAAGAGGTCTTTATTACTAGATACAACAGACTTAAATAAAAAAATAAAAAAACCATGGGTTAGGTAGATCTTTTTTCCTTTTTCCCTTTTTTTTTTTGGTAAAGAAGATGAATAATAACCAAAAGCATTACTGTCTGGGGTAGTAAACCCCTACAAGATCAGCCATACACAACAAATTCACATCAGCTGGACAGTCAAACAAAATATAAAACCCATGAGGGGCCAAAGCTCCCTTCTTGGCAATAGCATCAGCTGCCATGTTGCTCTCCCTCATCACATGTTTCAGCTGTACTTGGGGAATGGTGCGCAAAAGGTCCCTGCAATCCATAAGCAAAGTGCTGTGAGGGTGAAAGGGATTTGGATCATCTGATAAAAGAACATAGGCAACCATAGATTAGGCAGATCATATCTTCCACTTTCAACAGGTAAGAAAGACTAAACAGAAGCTGTGAATCTGGATCTAAAACGACAAAATTTCACCTCTTGGAGGATTCTTTTGCCTTTGAGAAAGCGGAGATGAAAGTCTTGCACAATCTCTCAAAAATTTTTTCTTTCACTTGACCCCTCTTTGGAGGAAATCTTGCCCACTTTTTCTCCTTCTTTCGGAAAGTAGAACCGGATGCTGACATCCTGCAGGATATCTGCGTACACATACAGAAAGAAAACTAACGTTAACATAAATAGGAAGGTGAAAAGAGGACTTCAGACTTTATCAGGAATCAGGATACCTTGTACGGACACAGAGGAAAAAGGGAAGGAGAGATTAAGAAGATTTTGGGAAAGAAGGAGGAGGAGGATTAAGGGAGGGGAAGGAAGAGAGAATTTTCATAAGTAACTATAGAGTGAGGGTGTTTTTTTGTTTGGGGGGGGAGGGAATTGGGAGCAATTTTTCGAAGTAAATTCGGAGCAATTGGGAGCAATTTTTCGAAGTAA